CACGCGGCATGCAGGATCTTAGTTCCCCAACCAGGGATCGAACCGGCGCCCCCTGCATTGGAAACGCAGAGTCTTAACTACTGGACCGCCAGGGAAGCCCCCTGAGTTACCTGATTTTACTGAAGGTGGGAGCATAGTTTTCTACAAACTCTTAGCTGTACTTGCTTCAATCCAAGGCTTGAGTCTTGCTGCCACACTGCCTCCTGGAGAGACCTTATTTTGTCCCCTTATCATGATGCCTAAGAACCTAGGACCACACAGAAGGCAGGAGAGCAGTGCTCTCAGACCCGACAACCACCTGCTTGTTCAAGAAAAGTAACTTGAGGAACCCAGACGCCCCTTATCTCTCGGCGGCCTGAACCATGAAGCACTTTATTTTTCTTTTAATCTTTCAGCAGGGGCTGTTTCTGTTCTTTGGTTGCCAAATTAGATTACGGTGCAAAACTTTCTATATTTAAAACACTGCGGAGTCTTTCTTGGGCGCAATAAAGCAATATATGATGGCTTTTATTTATTTTGTCGTTCATAGGTTCCAGGGCTCTTCTATGAATAGATTTGACCTTTATGACATATTCCTATTAAAACACATCATGTTCTGTGCAGAATATATGGACTTTACAAACTATAATCAGAAAACAAACTCCCTAAGCGTACACGAGGGTGTTTTTCGCTTTGCTTTGGTTTAGCCTGGATATAACATGCACATCTCTTTATGAAGTTGTTATCATATTGTGTTAACAATCTTGTAATATCTGTGATATCTAACTTCATCCTCAGGGTAGCCCTGGGAGGAAGCAGGGCGGATGTTCCTAATTCCAGGTCACCGGATTGGCTCACTGCAATGGTTATTCCACAATGGTTCCCAGAGCTGTCGAAACTGCTCCTTCTAGGACCTGGTCTGAAACCTCTACGGGGACACTGCCTGAAGGCCACTCACAGCCTAAACTGCTCCACAAATATATCGATGAAATAGACTAGGAGAAAGGGAAAGTTACTCCTAAATATTAGTTGGATGAAATGGAATTTATGGAGAACTGCAACCTTGGAAGAGGTGGACGCAGTGAACTAGATTGTTTCCGTCTGTTACTGAGTCCAAGCTCGTCCTGCTCACCACACGACAGGCCAATAAATTGAGAGACCAGTTGCTGGGGCAAAGAATAGCGGCTTTATTCGGAAAGCCAGCAGACCAAGAAGATGGTGGACTCGTGCCCCAAAGAACCATCTTGCTGAGTCAGAAGTCAGGCTCCTTTTACACTAAGGGGCGGGACTAAAGCCAAGCACTTCCTGGTTCCCGTCAGCCTCCGGAGGGGAGGTGTTAATTTCTCCCTCCTGCAGTCATTCACAGGTGGGCCTGCTCAGGAGGTTTCCTGGGAGCTAAACACAGGTATTTTAGCTGAATGCTCATTACCTGGGAGGCAGGGGTCCCAGAGTTGGGCCGTTATGGAGAATTTAAGCTCATAGGCAGCCTCGCCTTAGTGATTAACTGGTAACAGGATACAGAGGTTCTTCCCGATTACCGTTACCCACTGTCAACGTCCAGTCCACAGTTGTGGGAAGAGGCACAAAGGCTGCCCGGGCTATTTCCTACTGAACGGGGGCGATGGCTATTCTTTAGAATCTTTAGTTGGTAGTAAACATTCCCCATTTTTGGAGACAGAAATTCAAGATAAAACAGAAACAGCACATACAAGTGCTAGCCTTCAGAGAAGCAAACGAACCAGTTCACAAATCGGGTCAAAGTCCAACAACTCTTTCCTCTCTCCAACAGGGTACACCCCACTCCAATATGAAACAAACTGGCTTGTTCCAGAGAAAAAGCCCCAAACGCCGCAAAAACAAAACAAAACAAAAAGCCCCAAACGGAGAGGAATAAAGTTCCCGGCTGTACACACCGGAGCCACTTACCCTACCGTACGGAGACTGTCGGCTCCCAGATGATTCCTTCCTTCCACTGCCAAGTGCTGGGGCGGCCTGTGCTGCTTCAGAGAACTTTGAAGGCAGATCCCCAGGACAAGGGGTCCCGGCAGCTGCTAGGGTCTTACCCCAGAATTCCCCAGCCAGGGCTGGCAGGCCACGAGCAGCAAGGCTCCTGGGTGGCTTCATCAAAATTTGTTACCAAGTCCAAGCTTGTACTGCTCGCCACACAACAGGCTAATAAATTGAGAGCCGAGCTGCTGGGGCAAAGAAGAGTGAGTTTACCTGGGAAGCCAGCAGAGCAAGACGGCAGGCCGGACGCCCAAAGAACCGTCTTGCTGAGTCAGCATTCAGGCTCCTTTTATACTAAAAGGGGCGGGACTAAAGCCAAGCACTTCCTGGTTCCCGTCAGCCTCCGGAGGGGAGGTGTTAATTTATCCCTCAAGCAGTCATTCACAGGTGGGCCTGTTCAGGAGGTTTCCTGGGAGCTAAACACAGGTATTTTAGCTGAATGCTCACTTACCTTAATCTCTCGGAGGCAGGGATCGGAGAGGTGGGCCATTGTGTAGAATTTAAGCTTATAGGCAACAACCCTTCAGAGATTAACTTGTAATAGAATACAAGTTAGCTCGATTAATTGATAGGTTCTTCCCTATTACAATTTCCCACTGTCAATGTCCAGTCCACAGTCTTGTGGGGAAAGGGATGAACGCTGCTCTGCCTATTTCCTGCTGAACGGGGGCGATGGACATTCTTTAGAATCTTTAGTTGGTGGTAAAAATCCTCTTTCCTTTTCTATCTATAACTACTTGAACCTGATGAAACCCCTTAGCAGTTTGTTGTCTAATTTGTAATGGAACCTGGGGTTTAGGTTCCCAATATATTTATATACTAAATAAAGATATATACTAAATCCCTGTGCTATTTACTTGGACAAAATTAAATACACTGCCCCTTCTCTGCTACAGTGGAATCCCCATCTACTTCGATTGGGTGGGCAGACCTGTTGGAGGTGAACTCATGAACAGAGCCCAAAGTTTTAACACAATCGGCAACCACTAGGTCTGTTAGAGCATTTATAGATTCTCCCACCGGGCAGGCACCAGGAGCGGCCTTCCATACACTATTTCAAAGGGGCTTAATTTAAGCTGCTTCTGGGAGCCATTGATCTGTAGCAGGGCAACTGGCAAGATCTTATCCCACGTTAAATTAGTCTCTTGACATAATTTAGAGATGTTCCTTTTTAATGTGCGATTCATTTTCTCGTTTTTTCCTGTTGCTTGTGGTCTGCAGGATAAATGTAGTCCCAGTGCTTCAATCCAAATCAGGGGATAATTTCCTTAAGGAGGGCTTTAACCACCTCAGAGACTTTCTGTCCGGGTGGCATACGCTTCTACCCATCCCGAAAATGTCCACAAACACTAGCGGGTTATCTGAAATTTCCTGCAGCTCAAGGCATTTGAGTCCAGTCCTCAGTGGGGCAGGTTCCTCTGGGTCGGGTCCCCATCTGGGGAGATCTGATAGCCATCTCTGGGTTATTTTGAGCACACATCATGCAGTTTGGGTGACTCCTCTGCTGGACTTTTGTAGGTTAGGCCCCATCACATATACTTGAGTCCATTGAAAGGTGGCGTCTCTCCCGGAATGGCCAATGTTATGGAAGTGCTGCAGCACGGGGTACGTGAGCACCTCGGGAAGCAGAACCACTGTGCGCTACATTTCGAAGCAGGCGAGGTGTGATCCGGTGAAACCCTGCTCCTCGGCCTTCTCTTTGTCCTTTGTGACTACGCTGGCTGGTGTTCTGACCAGTCAGTCTGTGGGAGAAGTGACCCTCTTGCCTCAGAGGATATTGCTTTAGATTAGGTGTCCCAGCGTCCCTTTTTAATGCGGTTCATATTGGCCGTGTGTTTTTGGCCTTCCCGGGGTGCCATCCGCACACACTTCTGGTCTTACCTTTTCGTAGACCTTGGGGAAGAGCTCTGTCTCCTTTCCTGGGGTTCTCATGAGCGCCGTCCGTAGGCTTAACGCACATTCTGGTGGGACCCTGAGGTCAAGCTGTTCTGGTGAAGGGCGAGGTCTATCAGAAAGCCCATCAGCTCACTCCCCAGGGTCAGTTTCACCCGGGGCTCCTGTGGGACATGAAGCACCTCAGGTCCAAGGGAGCCCCTGGGCCTCTTCATTCATCAGAGTGTTCCCCTCTTTCTATCACGTGGGAGGCTCTCATCTTTTATTATTTTCCTTCTTATATTTTAGCCCAGGGCAACCTGTCTTGCAAGGTTCTTCCTCCTGACATCGTTCCTTCCCCGATGGGGGCTTACCGAAAAAGTGCCGTTTCCTTTTTGCATCTTCTTTCTTCTGTTGTTGTTTCCTGTTGAACACTTTAAGTGCCCCATCTACCAATTGAGAAGGGTTCATTCCAAATGCATCATCTAATTTTTCCAACTTTCTCCTGATTATCTAAGGCACTTTGCCCCAAAAAGTTCAAATTTACCATTCTAATATTTAAAGGGGTGGGACTAAAACCAAGCACTTCCTGGTTCCCGTCAGCCTCCGGAAGGGAGGTGTTAATTTCTCCCTCCTGCAGTCATTCACAGGTGGGCCTGCTCAGGAGGTTTCCTGCGAGCTAAACACAGGTATTTTAGCTGAATGCTCATTACCTGGGAGGCAGGGGTCCCAGAGATGGGCCGTCATGGAGAATTTAAGCTTATGGGCAACATCCCTTTAGTGATTAACTTGTAATAGGATACAGAGGTTCTTCCTGATTACACACTCAGCCTACATAATGACACTAACCAGAAGCGTATTAAAACCAAGCCTCTAATAAACAGATTGTGGTCTTTGTACGCAGCGGAGCTCTATAGTCTGAGGAGAACAGATGCTCTCCAACCACATGCAACGGTATGAATGAATGCAACTGTAAACATAACATGCGGTGAAAGAAGCTACGCACAAAAGAATCCACCCTGCATGGTGACATTTCTATAAAGTGCAAACACAGACAAAAGGAATCCATGGTGTCAGAGGTCAGGGGAGGGTTCCCACTGGGAGCGTGGTGACTGGAAGTGGCAGGAGATAGGATTCTGGGAGCACGGGTAACATTTATTTATTTATTTATTTTGCTGTAATAAACAGACTTTAAAAAAAAACACTTCATTGAGTTATGACTGACATACAAAAATCTATTTGTATTTAACATATAAAACTTGGTGAGTTTGGACATAAGTATGCACCTGTGAAACTATCACCTTGATCTATGCCATAAACACATCCATCACCTACAAAAGGTTCCTGCTGCCCTCTTTATTATTATTATTCTTTGTGTGCGTATATATATGATAAGAACACTTAACATGAGACCTACCCTCTTAGCAAATGTTTAACTATACGATACAGTGTTACAAACTAGGGGCGCTGGGCTGGACAATATATCTCTAGAATATACTCATTTTGTGTAACTGAAACTTTGTACCCTGTGATAATACCTCCTCGTCCTCCCCTCCCCCCGGGCCCTGGCAATCACCCTTCTACTCTCTGCTTCTGTGAGTCTGACTTTTTTCGATTCCATGATCACGCAGTGTCTGTCCTCCTGTGTTCGACTTACTTCACTTAGTATCATGTTCTCCGGGTTCACCCGTGCTGTCACATATGGCAGGATCTTCTTCCTTTTTAAGGCTGAATAATATTCAACTAAATGTATGTATATGAATCATATACTTTTCTTAATCCGTTTATTCATCAGTGGACACTTAGGTTGCTTCCATGCCTTGGATATTGTGAATAACGCTGCCGTAAACATGCGAGCAGAGATACCTGAGATCCTAATTTCAATTTTTTGGATACATACCCAGAAGTGGGATTGCTGATCGTATGGTAGCTCTATTTTAAACTTTTTTGAGGACTCTCCATGCTGCTTTCCACAGCGTCTGCACCAATTTATATTCCCCCCGGTAGTGCACGAGGGTTCCCTTCCCCGCAAGTCCCCCCTCAGTGCACTTGCTATTCTTGTCCTTTTGATCATAGCCATTCTGACAGGTGTGAGGTGATACGTTTCTATGGTTTTGCTTTGTGTTTCCCTGGTGATTAGTGATGTCGAGCATCTTTTCATACGCCTGTTGGCCATCTATATGCTCAAGGGCACAGTTCCATACCCTGAGCTTTAAAAACATCTGGTTATTTGAGGATTTTATGTTGCTGAGTTTTGGGAGTTCCCTATATACATTGGATATTAACCCTTTGTCAAATATATGGTGTGCAAATATTTTCTCCCATTCTGTCAGTCGCCTTTCATTTTGTTGATTTTTTCCCCTTTGCAGCAGCTTTTCAGTTTGTTGTTTCCCACTTGTCCATTTTTGCTTTTGTTGCCTGTGCTTTGGGTGTTGTATCAAAGAAATCATTGCCAAGACTGATGCTGAGGTACTTTTCCCCTACGTTTCTTCTTAGAGTTTTATGGTTTCAGGTCTTACATTTAAGTTGTTAATCCATTTTGAGTTAATTTTTGTGTCTGGTGTAAGATAAAATTGCAATTTCATTCTTTTTTATGTTGACATGCAGTTTTCCCAACACCATTTATTGAAGAGACTATCTTTTCCCCATTGTGTATTCTTGGTACCTTTGTTCAGATCAGTTGACAAAAGACGTTGAGACCAAAGAGAAATGTAAAGACTCTGAGTAATATTGTTTCATGATATGGGAGAGAAAAAAGACAATATTTCTTCATTAAAATGTGATTTTTCAATATTTCTCATTATCAGGTTAACTGGCACGTATTATAAGACTCCCGAATATGTCACCCGTGTTGCTAGAAATTCACATATTCAGATGGGCCATCCGCTTTTCTGTGGGCTTTTCTCTTTGGGAAGGTGGCAGCTCTCTCTAAATATAGGGTGGCGCATTTTGCTTCTTGATCTGGAGAAACATTGGTGTACTCTGGAAAACCTTTGAGCTGCACGCTTCCCCTGAGTGCACATTTCTGTGTGTTCTGTTTCACCGAAGAAGTTTGAAAAGCCTGTTGTTGGCCCTGAGAATTGAAGGGCGGTAGGGTTACCTCTGCCTTTGCAGCCCTCACACCCCTGCCTCGTGAAGCCCTCTGACCTCACGGACCCAAGAGCCACCAGGTTACTCCCTGGGGACTCAGTGGGGGCTTGTAAACCCAGTGGAGCCCTTTCTTGAATCTCCAGGATGGCAGACCAGCTGTTTCACCTCTTAAAACACTGACCATTGGGCTGCTTCGTCCTTGCTTCTGACTGTGGACTAGAGCTGTACCCGCCTCGCCTCCCCCTGGGGTGATGGAGAACGCTGTCTGGCCCTGACCGACCTGGGTTGGGGGCATGCAGGGTCTTCTGTTGAGGGCCCATCTGTGCCATCCCAAGCCTGTCTGCCCCCAGGAGACCAAGAATCTGTCCCTTTGCTCGGTGCTCTCAGTCTATGGAAGTGGGGCTCATTCTCCGGCTTTTATTCTTTCGGGCCTCAAACATCTGAGCCTAACTGGGCAGGGCCAGGGGCAGGCCTGACGGCACAGAAGGGAGAGCTGCTGTCCATCTGGTGAGAATTTGGCCCATGTGAGTTTTGATTAACATCACTCGGAGTGAAAGGAAAGCTGGAGCTCGATGGCAGGTTTTATCTGGACACCGTCGGTTTTGCTAGGGAGGATGGCGGCTGCCTTGGGGACCTGTGTGGGTTCCTCCTGACCCCTCGGAGGCCGGAGGCCCTCCCTGCTGTTTCCCTGCATCCTCCCACCCTCTCCCACCCACCTGTCATAGCAGCCGCTCAAGGGCACAGTTCCATACCTGAGCTTTGCCAGGTGATGCTCTGAAGGGCTGGGGCCTTGCATAACCGGCCATATTCAGAAGGCGTCCCCCCTGGCTGGGAAGTGGTGGCAGCAGAGACGAGACTTGCTCTGCTTTGTAGCCTAAAGGCAGATTGTCTGAAGTCTTCACTCTTTGGGAGGTTGCAGCTTAAGTCGTTTGGAGCAAATTTTTCCAGGTGATGTGAAAGAAGCATTTATTGGAGCTGCGAGTGGAAGCAAAGGGCAGGGCTCTCACGGGACAGGAGGTGTTTGTCAACGCGGTGGAGAGTGAAGTCAGGAGCTCTGCCATGTCTTCCAAGTCTAACATCCCCTGTCTGTAGCCTCTGTTTCTAAATAAGGGAAAATATGACCAAAAGTGCCAGAGGACAACTCATCCTTCCCTCATCCAATTCTCTCAGGACTGTCCACGTAGAGGAAAAATTAAAAGTGAATAAAGGAAGCCGAAAATATTTAAAGGTACAGTTGACAATTCTAAAACCTAAGGAATTCTTTTAAGAGATGAGTTCAAAGTAAGTAGGAGCTGACAGGCAGAGAAGCTGCACCGCACTAAGACCACTGAGTGAGTGCAGGGTCCCAAGGACGCCAGAAGCATGAAGAAGTCAGGTGCAGGAGAGGCTGTGCAGGGCTATTTGTGGCTCCATGAGTTTGTCAGGATCTGCTCTGTCATGCCCAGACCTGTCCCATCCTCCTGGTCCAGGAGGGAGTGAAGCTTGAGCCACTTCAGCCGACATCTAGGAAGAGAGAACTCTGACTTCAAGGAAAGCGATTTCCTGCGAGTGCCTTGGGCGGGTCTGATTGCATCACGTTACCTAGAACATCCGTATGTGACCTCTGTAGCTGCAGGAGAAGCTGGAATGCCTTTTGGTTGGGCAGGAATGCGGATTTTGTTATTTTGAGAGAAGGGAAGAATGGCTATTTCTGTCTGCCTCTACAGAGGGTCATATATAAAACTCGGGCTACACAAAACCGGTAAGAGAGGTGATGATTCGCTCTCTGTGTGACATTTTGTTTTCCCTCCATAGCAAAAGCCGTGCCCCTCAGCTCAGCATCTGAGAACCTTCCTGACAGTCCCTCCTGTTACCCTTCCACACTCACCTCCTAGTCACACCCCAGGCAGCCCTGCGCTTCTGCTACATGAGGGACCTCTGAGTTCTGAGCCTCTGCTCGCTTCATCCCAGCTTGAGGCTCAACTCATACATGAGAGGCCGTGCTAAAACTACTGTGTTAAACTAAGTGGGCAAAGCAAGAGCAACCTCCGGGAGGGAAGCTCGTGCGCACACACACATGTACAGACACACACAGGCACAGACACACATGCACACACGAGTCAATGACTCCCCCAGAAAGGAGAGTCCCCTGTGCACAGGTTAGAAATGGGATGAAGAGCCAGCGGGCTCGAAGCACAGCAGGTGCACACAGCCCGTAGCCTGTGGGATCTGATGCCATCTCCAGGGAGACAGGGTCAGAATTGAGTCGAATTGGACGACACCCAGCTGGGGTCACAGAGAATGGCTGGGTGTGGGGAAAAAAATCCATGTTGGAACTGGGTGCAGAATCCTTAGCCCCCAAATGATTTATTTGGTTTATCGGCACTAGCTGAACCCTCCAGCCTGACAGCAGTTCTAGGCGACTGAAGATCCACGTCTGGGAGAAGCGACCAGGCACCAGCAGGTCCCCACAGGCTTGCTCCGTGTCCCTCTCGGACTGCAGCCAGCGGGAGGGTTTCTGGGTGGAGAGCGATGCAGCGGGGACACAGTAGGGCCACCACCAGCACACGTGTCACCAGGGAGGCAGGTGCGCAGAATTCTGCACGGCTGAATGAGGGTGGGTTCTGAGGGTTTTTCACTCTGCCCTTAGCTGAGCTGAGCTCTGGCCTCTTAGCGTACAGCTGGGGCAGAGGAGAAACATAGGAACTTAGCAAAATGTTTCAAACAATGGTCCTTTAAAAACTCTCCTCATTTACTTCCATTAAACTGGACCTTACTATTTATGTGAGACCTGGACGTAAGCACATTGCTTCCTGTCAGCTGTTAACCATACGAAATGATTCAGAGTCAACTTAGAGTTGAATAAAAGCTAATATTCTAAGTACCATTTAATATCTTAGTTATATGAAGAATTTTCAATAAAATATGAGATCCGGCGGGGAGGAAAGCCTAGGCCTGCTTGAGGCGACATGAAATAACCAGCTTTTACTAGCACAGCAAGTGTGTTACACACAGCTTCATCGAATGCTGTGTCTCCAGGGTGCACGTGTGACCCAGGACTTTATTAAAGTATGTTAACCGTACAGTATGAAAGGGCATTCTCAAGTCAACAGGCCTGCATCCTTCAAATTTCCACATTCCAGTGAGGGGTCCCAAAGCTACACTAAACAGGTCATGCGAATTAGAAAAGATTTGTTTACTTAAAGGACATAAGGTGAAATTTATATGTTGTTCCTCTGGTCATTCCCTAAATATAGTGAACCCCTATCTTAAGAGAAATTATCTAAAACTTGGAAATAAGGAGTGGGGCACAGCTTGTTCTGTCAGTGTCACACTGTGGCATTAACAGGCCTGCCCAAGGGGTGTTTAAATCTCTAGGAGAATATACCTGTTCCACGTTGCTGGTCACTGGTTAGAGCCCAGGCTGTGCAGTCACCGGCCGATTTCTACCCCCTGGAGAAGTTGTGGTTCTCTCGTCCTGTAGAACATTAAGCCACTGTTTACAGATAGAATCGACAATCTCATTCTTTGTTCTGTTTTTCAAGATGCCTACAACCAGCCCATTCCTTCATCCGCTTTCTGAATCACCATTATTATTATATGTGTTCCCTTATTAATAATCTAATAGGTGTTTGACATATTTATTCAAGCTTAGGATGAACCATAGTTTTGACTTGTTGGAAGTTATACTCCGAGCTGTGAACGGTATGCAGGAATATCAATGACGACTCCTGCCCTGTCCACAGGGGAAGCACAGGAAATCCAAAGAGTAATGATTTAGAGCCAGAAAGTTAGGGAAATCTTTAAGAAAGCAGGGATGTCTGCAAGAGCCTGGAAGTGGGTAAGGCGTGGGCCATGACCTCCCTGTGCTTTGGGAAATTTAATTTCATTCCCTCTTACTTTTACCTCTTTGTCTTTATTTTCCTTCACTTTTGAAAACTCCAGACCCTCTCCTCCTTCCTCATGCTCACCTTTCCTCTTCTGCTCCCATCTCCCTTTGCCCCCAACCCCTTCCTTTGGAAGAACCATCCTTAGAGGAATCGGGCAGTGGTGCCTCCCTCCCATAGACATGGAGCTGAGCTCGGCTTTCAGACAAATTGTCAGCTTTGTGCAGTGGGTTGGAGCTCATTTTCAGACAAAAAGCCTTGAGGTAACAGAGGATGAAAACAGAGGCCACGGAGCTGGGCAATCTACATTTATTTAAAATGGCTTCATGGGGACTTCCCTGGTGGCACAGTGGTTAAGAATCCGCCTGCCAATGCAGGGACACGGGTTCAAGCCCTGGTCCAGGAAGATCCCACATGCCGCGGAGCAACTAAGCCCGTGCGCCACAACTACTGAGCCTGCGCTCCAGAGCCTGCGAGCCACAACTACTGAGCCCACGTGCCACAACTACTGGAGCCCGCACGCCTAGAGACCGTGCTCCGCAATGAGAGAAGCCACCGCAATGAGAAGCCGGCGCACGCGCAGCAACGAAGACCCAACGCAGCCAAAAATAAGATAAATAAATAAAACAGTTTCATGGAGTTGGCTGTTCCCTTTAATAGGCAATTTAAAACAATATCGACATTTATGTGGCGTTTATACAGCTGGGACTAATACCGCCAACCCCTCCATCCTGAGGCACTGAGGATTATAAAGACACCGGTGGTCTGATCCTTCGGGGGAGCAGAGCAAATTTCTCCCTGGAGCTGAAATCACTCTTCCAGGGAAGAGGGGGGCCGTTGGCAGCCCGGAAAGAGGAGCTGACCCAAGCCGTCTTGCTAACTGAGTGGATCCAGAAACAAATGACAGCAACGCGGGAACTAGGACCCCAGCCTCAGCCCGGCTCACACTCCACACACGCGGCAACTCCTGGGGCCGGAACAGAGGCTGCAGGCTCCCCTGGGTCCCCACGTGTGGATCTGGACAAGAGGCTTTTGCTAAACAACTCTACTTTCCCGTGGAAGAAACAGTGGCACTTTCCCACTTGGAAACGACTTTTGTTAAAATTTCTTTTCATAGAGAGACTGAAAGCCCAACTGTGTTCAAAAATGGCTCAGCAGAGGGGGCTGTGATGTAAACAACGTCTTCCTCTCAAGTTGACAGAGGCTCATTATCTCCAAATCGCTTCCAGCATCACCAAGATTAGCCTGTGTTGATTCTGAATGATGTCACCTCCAAGGTTACAAGACACCCGACTGCCTCTGATCTGCAGATCCCTGGGAGCCTCTGATCAGCCGAACACCGGCTCCTGACCTACTTGGAATCTGCACCAGTGGAAACTGTGGAGTCTTGTAGAATCGGGGACGGATTATAGGAGTACCAGGCAATGCTGCAGGCGAGGGACTTTCACTGTCACTGACCCCAGAGCAAGGGACCCAGTCTTTTGTCTGAGAAAAATACTGCCAAGGAACCACGGGGCGGTCTAAGAGGCCTTTGGATGGTTGAAGACTCAAAATGAGGCTAATTGTAGAGAAAAAGCAAAGAAACAAAAAAGGGAGGGAGAAACTTCAGGAGAGGGGGTCAGAAGCGGAGGGCTGGGTTGCAAGCAGGATCAGACATCAGAAGACGGGCCGCCAGAGGCAAAGGCCGGTCCTCTGGGCTGCAAACCAGTTGCCTATCTGGCCTGAGATCGTTTCTTTGTTGATGAGACTAGAACGTCAGAAGGCTCGGGATCACAACAGTATCGGGGTTCTGTGCTTCCCTCCAGACCAGAATCGTCCCGCCTCCCATCTGCTGCCTACGGCAATCCCCGTGTTTCTAGCGACAGCTGCTCATAGCCTTCTCTCCTTTCTAAAACGTGAGCAGCAGGGAGCACACCCCTGACGCTTTGTTGAGCCTGCCTTTCCGTTCAGCTAGCAGGATTGCATACTGAGAAGTGCCTATGTTGTATGCAAACACCACGCTGTTTCGTATAAGGGACTGGAGCATCCGTAGATACTGAGGGACGATAGTGTATCCTGAACCTGTTTTCAGGTTGCTCCTTGCAAATCCTCTCGGCACCCCAAGCGTTTCGTTTCCCCTTTTTCTTTTTTTAATCTATGTTTGGCTGCGTTGGGTCTTCATTGCTGCGCACGGGCTTTCTCTAGTTGCGGCGAGTGAGGGCTACTCTCCGTTGCGGTGCGCGGGCTTCTCATTGCGGTGGCTTCTCTTGTTGCGGAGCACGGGCTCCAGGCACGTGGGCTTCAGTAGTTGTGGCTCGTGAGCTCTAGAGCGCAGGCTCAGTAGTTGTGGCACACGGGCTCCGTAGTTGTGGCTCGCGGGCTCTAGAGTGCAGGCTCAGCAGTTGTGGTGCACGGGCTTGGTTGCTCTGCGGCATGTGGGATCTCGCCGGGCCAGGGCTTGAACCCGTGTCCCCTGCGTTGGCAGGCAGATTCTTAACCACTGCGCCACCAGGGAAGTCCCTGGTTTCCCCTTGAAAGCCTTCCCTGGGCCCGGGTGACTGTGTGTTCGGTTTCTGAATGCCAAGCCCTTGCATCATTTCAGCTTCTGCACAGGCTTGGGCAGCACAGCACAAGTCTTCCCACTCCCTCTGTTAAGCTGTCCACCCAGGAACTGAGGCTCTCCCCGCCACCCAGCGCTCGCCCGTCCATGGAGCGGAGATGGTCCTGACAGAGCTGCACAGAGGCTGCTGCCTGCAGCTCGGAAGGAGGAGGTGGGTGTGCCCTCCTGCTCAGAGTCAACTGTTCACATCTTTTTCCCAACAGGGGAGAAAGTCCAGGCTCGCTCGATATCTTGGCACCGAACCTAACAGATATTCTTCCTTCCTTTTTCTCAAGAAAGAGATTCCTAAGCAATCGTCCGTCTCCGTGAAGCAAGTACTGATCAGCATGGCTTAAGTGTTGCCCTTCCTTTTCCAAAAACGCGTCATCATTTATTGATGGTGGCAGGCAGGTCAGAGTCGAGGGGAGACGACGAAGAGCAGGTTAATTGTGAAGCCCAAAGTGATGGCGCGAGAGGAAAGGAAATGGGTCTTGATGTCTCCATCTGCAAGGGGACCTCACGCTGCAGGAAAGGAGTCCTGCTGCCTTCGGGGCAGGACTGCTGCTGACCTTGCAGTAAAGCTTGGAAGGACCACACCCGACTCACTTGACCAATGAGGGCAGAGTCCTGGTTCTTGGGGCCGACCCCTTGCTTTGTGGAGGATGCCACCGAGGACCAGAGAGGTCAAGTGCCTCACCCAACATCACACAGAGCCTCTGTCACCCAGACTTCCGTTTTTGTTCCCCTCCCTCACAACTATTTTTAGCCAATTATGCCTATATTGCTTATTTGGCAATGTTTTCATGAGTCTAAAATTTTTGATTTCAGAGCTAATTGTATTGTTTGAAAGAAAATTGGTTGAACATCAAGGTTTTCTAACCACTACACAGATAACTTTTGATTTCATCGTGTGTTATTTTTAAATGTTTAAAATTCATTTTAAAACATTTTTCTTATTTCTTATACATTTAGAAATTTTAGATACTTAAAAAATTATGGTAAGATATACATAATACACAGAAGATGAAATTTAGCATTTTAATTACTTTATGTGTCTAGTTCAGGCAGAGGTGCCAGAGAGCAAACAGAAACATCCAGGCACCCTGAGGCCTGGGCTCAGAATCGGCACCGCATCCCTTCTGTTTCAATTCACTGGCCAAAGCGAGTCACGTGGCCAAAGGTTAGGGAGGGAGATGTGTTCTTCCTCTTGGGGAAAAACCGTAAGTTCACACAGCAAAGATGCAGGTACGGCGGGGGGGCTGAAGAACTGGGGTCAGTAATGCACCCTCCAAATCCAGCTGTGGGAAAATAACCGAGAACAGCCCATCCTCTCCAGAGAGGCAGTGGCAACCTGGCGGCATCCAGATGTGCTCCTTCAGCACTGGTCTGAGGACCCCAGCAGGACACAGCCAGAACCTGGGGGGAGGGTGGGAGAGAAAGAACCACACACCTGCCCCTCCCAGGGCGCTACCTGGGGTCCCCAGCATGGCAACAGCCGAGAGAATGAGGCATTTGCCTTCCCCACTCGGGTGGAAATGGTCCCTTTGCCTCAGATTCTCTTCACAGAATCTCAACCTCAGAATTTCATTAAATGGCAAAAACAGTCTTCTGACTATTTTGCTAGAGTAAACCCTGCTCTTTCCTACAAGAGAAAAAAGAAAAGGTTTACCTTCCACCTTGCATGCGATCCCTCCGGGATGCAAGGACCGTTGGCATCAGAGGCTGTTGTGATGGCTTTGCTCTCCAGCAGCTGGAGGTGAGCACCTGGGATGAGCTCAAAAGCAAACAGCTCAGCCCCTTCTGCTGCCGCTCGGGATCCAGGTGCGGGGCCAGGTAATTAGAGCGACATGCCTGTGGCTCGTCTCACTGTGGCAAGGCGGGACACACGGGAACAGAGTCCCAGCCAGGCTGGGCTCCTTTCAGATGCCACGTTCTCATGAACATTCCGGCCACATCCTGGTCCACACCAGGGGTGCAGCCATGGGAGGGCTGGGCGGCCCCAAGTCCCCTGCT